CCTCATGAATGCTTCTTGTCCTTCCAGGTGGACTTGAAAATGTAATTGCATCGAGTTGCATTGTTTCTTCCCGTACTAGGATTACTGTTAACTTCCGGCTCTACACGTGCCTCAGTCAGGCTTCCTTAAATCGTTTACAGTTTTTTTGAGTACAAAATGCGCAGAGCGCGCCAGGATTTGTAACCAGAAGCCAGCCGGTCGTGGGGTTCCCAGCATTATCTCCTGTTCTGGGGGGATCCCTGAGTTGTCTTCCTTGTAAATTCAGAATCGAAGGTGTAAGAGTGTTACTGGATTTCATATAAGCACTTTATGACGCGCCGCTGCAGTTGCATTTCAGAGTCTCATTGTTCCTCCTTCCCACTCCTCGGCGTACCTGTCACTCCTCAATCTATAATACTGTTTTCCATGTTGCTCTAACTGCAGAAACTAAAGGTGGACTGTGCCTTTGAGTGTTTTAGCCCAACATTGTGGAGATAGCTCTCCCCCAAATCATCTCAGATGTTGCTGAAGAGCGGTGACTTTTTGTAAGCCAGCCTTTTAAAACCACTTCTTCATGCAGAACGCCTTTATATAGATCTTCCTTTTGTTTTTTTTGTGTCGATCTGTCGTTCTCTTTCTATTAATTGAATCTTTCCCTCTTGGTTTGTATCTTCCTTGATCTTTGTAGTTTACATGTGCTCCTCTAGTAGTATTGTTTGATTGGGTATGGTTATGGCATGTACATATGTAGTATGTTATACGTATATAGTATTAGACCCGATATGTGATGTTTGTGTGTTTGTTTTATTTGTGTGGTTGTAAAGCACTTTTGTAAACTCGTGTTAAAAAAGATTTGATCTGTGGTTTCTGGTGGGGATGAGTTTCTTCTAGTGAAAGTGAAGCAACTGTTCAAATGAAAGGAGAAAGCGACAGAAGACACAGAGCGCGCCGTCCCTAGGGATGGACAATAGATGTTGTAGGTTCATTGGGCCAAAAAGTTATCTGAAAGGTTGTTAAAGCTGGTGTGTGTATAGAAGTTAAACATTTCTTCTGTGTGATGTATTGGTGTGAAAATGTGTTGGTATCTGATTGTTGGCTGATCTGGCTGTGTTGGAAACCCGACTGACAGATTATTTACATCGCTCACATTAAAAAGAGATCATCATTCTTCCGCCTCGTGCTTTTTCTACCAACGTGCTGGTTTTGCAGAGCATAAAGTGACATCACCCGGTCGGTGCTTTTCACCCCAACGCATGAAGCTCGCTGAATTAAGATTTCCTGGGTGTTTTTCTACAGGGTTTGCCTAAGAGATAAGGATGAATTAGCGTATAACTTTTACATTGTGTTTAACAATGTCTCAGGGGTGATAGAAAAGACCGTGGGAGTTTATCTTGTTTTCCGGCTCTGGTTGTTGCTGCAAAGAGCCAGAAAAAAAGACCCCACACAGGGTCCAGCTTGTGTCTAACTTGACGTTCTGCATGTTAACCAAATAGTGCCTTACATGTCAAAGGGGATGTGGGGGGTCTCTTGGCCCCCGCCCCCCCCCCCCCCCAGAAACAGTGTGATACATGGACTGTGTTGACCTTTTTTAAAGGTTAAAACATGTTCAGTGAGGGTTCAAAATCACTTTGGGTCAGAGGTTATCCTGTGTTTAGAGTTTGTGGCGGAGGGTAAACAGGTCTTTAAAATTGACAATGAGTGAAAATAGTAAATAAAAGCTGGGTAAAACTGGCTGTTTAGGGGGCTGGTACGGATCCAGGATTGTGATTACAGATGTTCTTGTTAGTCAGGTTGGGTCTGTTGAAAAGGGCAGAAAAACCACAGAGGACCCAGTCCTGCGTTAATACTTGACTTCATGTTCACAGCAGAATGAAAAAATCGCCACGCAGGTTGGTGTTGTTTTTGGTTTTTCCACAGGTTGTGAGTAGATTGTGTTTATTCAAGGTGAAATGTTGTCCCTTCTGAGGGTTGATGAGCACGAGGATTGCGTTATGAGATTTGGTTAGATTGTATTTCACACTGAGTAATGTTTGTTTTTGTTGACAGATTACAAAGTTCAAAACACTCTGGGATTGATTATAAAGTCTAAGTTTTTTTGTAGAATGGTTCTTTTCACAGACTGAGTTTCTGTTGAGTTGTGTTTGATTTCATAATCAAAACTCTGTTATTCCCTCAAGGTGTGTGTTTCCCCCCCGGTGTCAGTGGATGTAGTGTGGTGTAAGTTGACACATAAAGATGCTGTTTGTGTGTTAAATTGTTGTGACACTGAAGAAGGTTCTTTATAAGCTGTACATCACGGTGGTGTAAGAGTGTCAGCTCAAGCAGATCAAGCTGATTTATGATGACATTGTGCAAATCAGACAATAAAAAAGGCTTTTGCAGGTGAGAGTGTTCAATCCAGGATAACCTTCATCAACGCAGGCTGACCGGTTTGGTTTTACGCCCGCACGGCGATGGGACGTCAGCATGTAGTCCAAGCTCAAAAACGCCCTGTGAGCTCGTGGGAGTCTGTCGCCGGGTGCGGTGGGCTGCGCGCCTTGTTAATCAAGCTACCGGGAGGCTGAGGGCTTGGCGGATCGTTTAGCTTCAGGAAAGGCTCTGAGGCTGCCAAGCGGACATATGCCGGATCGGGTGTGCCGCACTAAGTTTCGGGGTATCGATTAGTGTGCGTGCTCCTGGGAGCCCGGTGACCAGCCAGGGTCGTCTGCAAGGAGGGGTGCCACCGGCCCAGGTCGGAAACGGAGCAGGTCAAAGCCCCCGCGTGCCGCTCAGTAGTGGAATCGCGGCCGCTGGGTGAATAGACGCTGTAGTGCAGGCCTGAGTAAGTACCGCGGGACCGCAGTCTTTTTACACTCACAATAAACTGCTCTCACGTACACAGCGAGCACTCGGACGACATTAAGCATCTTGTGACACCCTCTGCAGCTTCATCACATCACTCTTGCATCTTTCTGTATCCCCATCAAACACCTGTGCGACAAAAGCTGGCTGCTCTGCGTCGTCCTACACCGCCTTCCCGCGCTGGAGGACCACCTGGCAACTACATCCTGCCGTTCCACTTGATAGATTACGCAAACGGGTTGGCATTTCTGGGTTACAGCCCTTAAACTGGGTTTCGGAATGTGCGCTGTTTGACTGAATGTGTAGAGATTCCGTGTTAATGTCTGCGCATTAATAGATCATGTTGCTCCGTCCGAGCTGTGTGGTGGGGTCCTCAGGGTGTCGGGTCTCGGTCCAGTTATTTTCTCCCTGTACGTGCTTCCTCTCGCAATTGTATTAAAGTTTCAGGAACATTCCCAGAATAACTCCTTACATACAGCACGATACTTCGTCAAAAGAAACACAAATGACACTGTATCAATCATTTTATTTAATTTATTTGTTAATTAAACTGGTTAAAGTTCATGGTCTTCTGGGTGGTAAAGTTCGCTCATCAGTCGGTAGATGTATGACGGTGCGTGTCCTCCAATGTTAGAGATGAACAGCGTGATGAGCTCAGGTGGCACATAGTCAAACACTGGACAGTGCACGTTCACCTTTGAGAGAATCTCACCTGAAATACAAAAAAGTGAATAAGTCAGAGGAACACTTATTTTAAAAGGCTTCAAAGTTGCTGTTTAAAAGATGAAGATAAAGTAACAAGCGTTTTGTTAGGATTGTTACCTTCGGTGAAAGGAAGAACCTCATGTGGAGAGACAAACTTATGGAAGGTATCTTCTTCATTTGGGAACTACAGACACAAAATAGTTATTATCAATTGTTGTCTGCAGAAATGATAGAAATCTGGCTAATTAGTGAGTCTTCTTACCTGAGGTGAGAGCTTGAACATGGGAGCACAAACTATCAGAGGTGTGGAGTGGTGCTTGGCTGCGAGGGCCAGAGTGTGCGTCCCGTTGACGGCCCTCAGCCCTCCGTTCGCCAGAACTGTCTGTGTACCAATGATGACCTGAGGGGAGAGAGATCGCCACACAGGTTGACCCAAATGCTTTAACATTGTTTTACAAAGTCGTCTGTGATGTCAAAAAACTGTAAAAAGTTAATAAAACTACTTTGAACAACAACAAAAAAAAACAAACACCTTATTAACACGAGACATGACTGCAAATATGGCAGCGTCTGTGATCACGGTCGTTTCGATGCCAGCTTCTGAGAGACTCGTTGCCATCTTATGTCCCTGGTGGGAGGAGAACAAAGAGGATAGAAATTATAACAATCTTTATAGCAACACCAAATTTTCTTGTTTTTCCTGCAAGAACGTAATAATTTCTTGCATCTTTGACGTGTTCCAGCTACCTGGCAGAAGGGGGCGCACTCCGCCACTATGACATGGAACTTTCGCTTGCGTGCGGCGTCTTTGAGGAAGGACTCGACGGTGCGAGAACGGCCAATAGTCATGATGACCTCGTTAGAGTGAATGTGCTCCAGAGCCTGCATCGCAATGTTGTCAGTTGTTCCCTCTGAAAAAGGAGAACAAAAAACCCTCACAGAATAGAGACAGAC